ATATATATATATATGTCAACATCAAAAAGGAGGAGAATGTTAGGAATCGTGACCCTAAGATTAGTTTGTTTTGATGATAACAAATTATATGTTATGTGTATTATGTGCTAACATTTGTTTTGTAGTATTAGAGCTAAATCAACAATTATATTCAAAGAGATACTCAAGACATGTATGAGTTCAAGGTAAAATAAAGCAAAGAAGAAGATATACTTTATTGTAAACATATAAGTTTACACTTTCTTTGCTTAGAAATATGTACAAGCCTTGATCACTCACACACATGCACGCACATAGTGTTAGAACACACTAACGCATGCTTAGTGTGTTGGTTAATAATAAAAATCTCCTATGTTAACCATTAGAATTAATAGATATTGAGTGAGACTTAAAACATATCATATAGCTCATATCTACCCCTTAATAATCGACTAATAGCATGAGTAGTCGACTACAACAGACACAGACAAAATATCAATTTCTGTGTCATTACAGACTAGTCGACTACTATGCATTATAGCAGACTAATAAGAATTGAATTTAAATTCTAGACTTTCTGTTTTTACAGAGTAGTCGACTAATAGACAAAGTAGTCGACTACTAAGAAAAATACTGACTATACAGAGTTTATCTGAACTCAGAGTAGTCGACTACTAAGACTTGTAGTCGACTACTAAGACAGTTTTCTGACTGTTAGAGGTTTTGAATCTTTGACCGTTTATAGCCATTTTAAGGTGTTATTTGGGTTTAAAAATATGTCTTTTCAGAGGCTATAAAATAGGAAAAACATCAGAAAACAAATAAGAAGTGTTGCACTCAAAAGATTAAACATTTTGTGTATTCTAAGTGTTCTAAAATTCAGATTTACTTTTGCTGTCTTTATCCACTAGCTCTACTTTGCACCCCAACACATAGTCTGATATTGAAGTTCATGAACTTTGTTGCCTTGAGATTTACGACTTGAAGTACAAGTCTTATTACTCTGATACGAGGTTGGATTCGAACTCTACTTTATATTTCAAATCTGACATAATGAGGTTCTAGCATCGTTTAATTAAGCCTCAGCATTTGAGCCCAATTAGGGGAATGACCTTCATTATTAGAAGAAGTCTGAATATATCTCATTCGAGTCTCAGCACTTGAGCCCAATTAGAGGAAGGACCTTCGTCGAAGACGAGGTTCGAATCCAATTTCAATCAAGTCTCAACACTTGAGTTCAATTAGAGGAATAACCTTCATTATAAGACGAGGTTCAAACTAATTTCAATCAAGTCTCAGCACTTGAGTCCAATTAGAGGAACGACCTTCATTGAAGACGAGGTTCGAATTCAATTTCAATCAAGTCTCAACACTTGAGTCCAATTAGAGGAACGACGTTCGTCGAAGACGAGGTTCAAATCCAATTTTAATCAAGTGAATAACTTTCATCGAAGACGAGGTTCGAATTCAACTTAAATCAAGTGAATAACCTTCGTCGAAGATGAGGTTCGAATCTAATTTCGGCCGAATCTCGACATTCAAGCTCTACTTGAAATAGCAACCTTCGTCATTTTTTTTTGACTTGGGAACGAGAATGAATCTCATTGAACGACGTGGCAACCTTCGATAGTTCCCAGACTATTGATCCACATGGATTCGTCGCTTTGTTTCATCAGTATTAAGTTTTTGGTACTTAATGCGTCGCTTCGAGCTACGTCCTCGTTGGCGCAAATTACGAACGCAATTGATTGCGTCGCATCGTTCCCAGCACCCTTTGGCGATTCGATGCTTAGGGATTCGTGTAACGAATCCCAGCCACTTGGTTGGCTCCTTCGCCTATAAATAGGCCATTACTTTTCGAGAAGATCCATCTTCCTCCTCTGTGCCTTGTTTCAAAATGACTCAGAGGGGACTTTGCATTTTAAGGTTCCCACCTTCGCTTCCTACTAAATTCCAAGCTTTTCGGTCTTTGATGATCGTCGCAGATGAGGTAGGCAAAATTAATGACGTTGTCGCTTCAGGTAACGCTTTTGATCCGATCCTTGATCTCTTGGTCTTTGTAGTAGCTCGCTCATTTGATGATTTCTCAGTTTTTCAAAGTCGAAATTAGGGTATATTTCAACAACTTGTTAGACTTTTTGAATGTAACCCCAAAGAGATATCCTAAGTTCAAACATGCTTACTATTTTGACATGCCATGTGCCCCCAAGCATGCAGTCCTTTTTCTGGACTTCGGTCTATGTGGCAGCTTCGCAGACTCAGTGAAGTGCTTCTTTTTGGAGGAGTCAGCAACAATGTTAGAGTTGATTACACGTTCCACGGAGATGGGAGAAGTGCTGATCCTATGCTCAGAGCTTATGGTGTTTCCATTAGTAGTCAGCTTACCCAAGTAGGTAAGCGTGTGCTACAAGCACCAAAGTTAAAAGTTGTGTATGTGGAAGACTTCATGCCCAGGAACGGAAGATGGAACTTAAACAACAAGAACAGCGACGTTGTTGCGGACGAAGCTCTTAGTGCAACTTCGAATGTCGTTGAAAGACTTGTAACTGAACTTCATATTGTAGTCCGAAGGTCATTGAAAAAACTTGTAACTGAACCTCGTAGTGTAGTCCAAAGGTTATTGAAAGAACTTGTAATTGAACTTCGTAGTGTAGTCCGAAGGTCATTAAAAGAACTTGTAATTGAACTTCATAGTGTAGTTCGAGTCTTTTAAGTTTGATATATGCACTTCGACTTTCTATATTTTTAATTATATATGAATAAAATTTTATAGTTTTATCCACATATTATTCTCTTCCTCTTTGTGCAATTGAAGATTAACTTAGGATTTTTAGCAAACCCTCAGCTATCAACGGACTTGAGTTATCTTTACCAACTGTCGTTTGAGTTGGACCAATCATACTTTTCCCCTCAGTATGATGAGTTGTCTAAGAGTTTCTCTTAGACTTTAATGCTAAGATTTCTCTTTTATCCGTAGCCTCTTTTAGGCTTCAGATCAAATGTAGGATAACGAAGTTTAAAATATGACTAAGTGTTATGAACGAAGCTCAACACATAGCAAGCTCATTGGGAAAACGAACGTCATTTGTGAAAATAACGATGTTGGGCTAATCAAGTCATTCAATGACTTAGAATAACAGTGATAAAGAAAACAAAGGCACATCATTTGCTAGGCCAATGTTAGAAAATGAACATCATTTGGGGAAAGACGACGTTAGAAAAATCATATCGTTCAGTGACTTAAAAGTATGATGACGATGATAGAAATGAAGGCACATCACTTGGTAGGCCAACGTTGAAAAACGCACGTTATTTGGGGAAATGACGACATTAGAAAGATCACGTCATTCAGTAACTTAACAGTATAACGACGATGATAAAAACAAAGGCACATCACTTGGTAGGCTAATGTTAGAAAACACATGTCATTTGGGGTAAATGACGATGTTAGGAAGAATACGTCGTTCAGTGACTTAACATATAACGACGATGATGAACATAAAGGCACATCACTTGGTAGGCCAATGTTGGAAAACACACGTCATTTAGGGTAAATGATGACGTTAAAAAGAATACGTCGTTCAGTGACTTAACAGTATAGTGACGATGATAGAAACGAAAGCACATCACTTGGTAGGCTAACGTTGAAAAACGCACGTCATTTGGGGAAATGATGACGTTAGGAAGATCACGTCGTTCAGTGACTTAACAGTATAATGACGATGATGAAAACAAAAGCACATCACTTGGTAGGCCAATGTTGGAAAACACACGTCATTTAGGGTAAATGACGACGTTAGGAAGAATCAAATACAATAACATATCACATAGTAGTATACTATTGGAAAGATTTTTTTTGAACAAGAGTTAAACAATGACTATCAGAGGTAATCATTAATATGATAGTTTTGGTTGTCTCGCTATCCTATTGAAGAGGATTGTGAGGGTAATTTAGAAGAGATGAAGTAAGAAAACCATTACCTTTATTTGCTTCTCCTCCTGTTATAAGACGCACTTGACCATGAGGTCTATGGGTAATATTTCTTCAGAAATTTACCATTAATAGGCATCATGAGTTTGTCACCATCTTGAGTGACAAGACGATAAGCTCCATTTGAGTAGACAGTTTCTATCACAAATGGTCCCTCCTATTTTGGCTCGAACTTCCCTTTTTGGAGTTCAAAATCATTGGGTGTCAGACGGCAAGGACCAAATCACCTTCCTTGAATATGCGATATCTAACCTTTTTATCGAATGCTTTGGAAATCTGAGCTTGATAAAGTTCGATGTGTTGTTAAGCCAGTAGTCGCTTTTCATCTAACGCTTCCGGTTCTTGAAGATGTCGGTGATGACTTTCTTCCGTTGTCATACCAGTTGCAAGTGCTATTCGCAGAGATAGAATTTGTATTTCCAATAGTAATACAGCTTCACATCCATATACCAAGGAATATGGTATCGCTCCTATCGGTGTACGAACCGTTGTGTGATAGGTCCACAAACTTTGACCCAGTTTCTCATTCTAGTCTCTTTTGTTCGTCGAAACTACCTTAGTGAGAATTCTGACAATTGTCTTGTTGAAAGCTTATGCTTGTCCACTAGCAGCATGGTTATAAGCTGTTGAAGCCAAATTCTTAATCCTGAATTTATCACAGAATCGAGTGAAGGCTTGGCTAACAAACTGAGGCCCGTTATCATAGACCATACGCCTCCGAATGCCGTATCTGTATATGATGTGATGTTTTAAGATTTTAACAACATCACTCGTCTTAACTTCTCTTAACAGGATTGCTTCTGCCTATTTAGAGAAGTAATCGGTTATCACTAAAATAAAACGATGTCCCTTGGAAGAGGGTAGGGTTATTGGGCCAACGATGTCCCTACCCCATGTTTCAAAAGGCCATGAAGTGGCTGCGGGTGAAGATGCTCGGGCGGTTGATGCATGTAGTTAGCATGTATCTGGTAGGCGTGACATCGTTTAGCATAAGCAACAACGTCATGTACCATGTTAGGCCAGTAATAACCTAATCTGCGTAGTTGATCCCACAATTTAGGGTCAGGCTAATGAGCCCCACAGATGCCATCATGAGCTTCTTTAAGAGCTTCTTTTGCTTCTCTATTTGATAAACAGCGAAGCAATAGTCCGTCATACGACCTTTAGTATAAAATCTGGGATTGGGAATCGTAATATAATCTAGGTGCTCATCTATGAATGATTTTCTTTCCTTGATGTCTTCAGGTAATAATCCATATAAGACATAATCAATGATCGAAAATCGCCAATCTTTAGGTTCGAGCATTGTAGGCTCATCTTCAATCACGTTGATCTGCAATGCATACTTTGACTTGAACAAATGTTTGCTCATCACGGTGATTTGTTGAGTAGCTCCTTCAGGTTGAGCTAATGTGGCCGCAAACGATGCTAATGCATCGGCATAAGTATTCTTGAGATGGGGTACATAGTCAATGTAGAAACCCTCAAAAGATTCAGCCAATGCGATCGCTGCTGTATGATAAGGGATGAGATCCTCATTTCTAATCTCATATTCTCCCTTCATCTGATTAACGACGAGTTGTGAGTTGCCAGATGCTTCTAAGTGCTTCACTGATAATCATATTTTATTACAATTTTATACCCTCATTATCTATTTTACATGAATAAATATACCATTAATAATTGTTGTTAGCTTAGTTTCCACATAAATGAATGAAAATATAAATAAATATTATTAAATGTAAAAACCCCTTAAAAATCCCTCTTCTCTATTTTGCAGCATTTTAGAAGCCTATGATTGAAAGGTTGGAAGCCCATCAAGCAAATGATGACCCTAAGAAAAAAAATAAAATAAAACAAAGACCTCATGCACATCATGCTCAAGAAGAAGCCACAAAATCAAGCTCTTTGAAGGCCCAAGCCCATCAACAATTGATCACACCTCATGACCGGACTTAGGAGACCGGACTTTGTTTTTTTTTATTTTCAAAATCAAATGGAAATCGGACCTGGGGGCTTGATTGCTGCAAACAACAATGGGCCGGACCTGCTGGTCTTGGCTTTGGGTGCTGCAGCTTTGAATCAAAAAAAAATCAAATGGGAAGTTCAAATTGGGCCGGACTTGTTCAAACTCCAATGGGCTGGACCTGATAAGGACTTAGCTTTTAATTTTGAAGCTCCATTGAGCCGACTTTGCTACAGATTCAAATCTCTATGTGGGCTGCAAATTTAATTTTGAAAATCAAATCTCCATGGACCGGACCTGCTGTAAGAGTTGGGGATTTTCATCTTTGAAAATCAAATAAATCATATGGGCCTCCTATGTTGGGCTAGAGAAGAACAAAAAACAAATTCAAAGGTGGAGATTGCTTTACTTGGGGCTCAAGACAAATCCAATGGCTCATATTCATTAAAGATTACTATAAATAGGGGTAGAGAGTGAGGGGTTAAGGGTGTAAAAATTTTTATAACTCCTTTTGGAGAGGAGGGCTACTCTTAATTGAGAAGACCTTCCAAAATTGTAACTTTTTGTTGCAATTAATAATAATAATTTTTTCACCACTTTAAATTTTTCTCTTCTTCTCTTTGTTGGATGATGAAGATGAAGATGAAGATGGAGAATCATTTGAAGGTTTACATTTCTCTTTTATTTCTTTTTGCTTATTAGTTTAGATTTATTTCTATGCTTGTAGTTAGATTTTATTTTCTTGTTAAATAGCCAAGAGGCTAGAACCCTCTTGCCTTAGATTTATTTCGTGTTCATAGATTAGATTTATTTTCATGCTTATAGAGTAGATAATAGATTTAATTTCTTGCATTTAATTCTTGCAATTTTATTTTGTAGTTTAGATTTTGCACTTTATTTTGTAGTTAGATTTTAATTTCTTATACTATTCACCTTGAGGCTAGAACCCTCTTGGGTTTAGTTTTTCTTTTTGTTTATTTTTATTTTGTTTGATTCGCCTTTAGGCTAGAACCCTCTAGGGAATCACCCTTTTCTAAGAAGTGGGTTCAATTGTAGATTACCCATATCTATAATTGAATCCACCATCTTTAATTTCTTGCATTTTCTTTTATTCTTGAATTTTATTTTCTTTATTCTTGATTTTTATTTTTATTTTTCCTTCTTGCCTTATTGATCATATTCATTCTTTGTCACATCCACTCTCACTTATATCTCGTGCCGATTTACACACTATCATTTTCACTTTCTCAATCTCTTCACAATCACATTCACTTATCACTCCTACTTGTCACGCACACAACATAAGAATCGATTTCATATTTTCTCCTACAAAACATATTTCTCGTGGGATCGATATCTTAAATACTATAACTTGACACGGTTGTGCACTTGCAACCTTTTTGGTACATGTTTATGCCGCATCAAGTTTTTGGCGCCGTTGCCTGGGGAGGTGCTTAAGTCGGTTTTAATTATTTTGGTTCTTTAACTTGTGTGTTTTTTGTGAAGGAAACGCTTGGAGCTTGAAGATCGCGGATTGGAGAGCTAGGATTTGAAGATTTGCTTTCAGGTAAGTCTTCTTTCTAGTTTTTAATTCCACCATTTAGCTACTTCTTCACAATTAGAGACAATTAGGACTTAAAAAAAAAGAGATTTTATTTTTGTTGACCATAATAAAATTCACCCTCCACTTTGACATTTACTAATAAGATAATAAATTCAAACAATTTCTCCCCTTCTCATTTGTTTGATTGTTAACCCTAAAAAAAAGAATTTTTCTTTTCCATCCTTTTAAGTTGCTTTTAATTCATAGGGTTGCATTTCATATTGATAGTAGGAATTCACCAAGTGATTTGAGCATCTTGATTTGGCACACACTTAAAAATACTTTTAAGGGCAAAACCCCATAATCAAGATAAGGTAAGGTATTTCATCACCCTTTCCTTAGCCCAAAAATCACTAATTCCTCACTTCACAAACCCAAGCCTAATAAAACTCATTAGACGTTGGCCCCTAAGGATTCGAGCTCAATAAGGAACAAAAAAAATCCTTAAGTGAACTGATTTAAGTTTTCTCAGATTAGTTGGTGTCTAAGGCAAGGTTTAGGGGTTGCGTAAAGCGCTCCGCAAGGAAAGAGGTACTTAATTGATCTTTGATCACCCTCTAGTACTATCCTTACCTGGCTAACTACCTGGGTAAAACTTTTATCTTTTCACTATAGGAGTTTTTGGTTAGGAGCTGGTCTAGTGAATTAGGCTAAACCCTAGAATTAGAGTGATTGAAAAGTGATTGTTTTGATTTTGTTTTAGTTAGGATTTTTCTTTAACCTTTTCTTCTCATAAAAAAAACTATTTTTTTTTCTCTTTAAAAAAAATAAAAAGAAATATTTTGGTGTATGCAACAGTGGATTAGGGATAATACACGTCGATTAATTCGCTTTGAACCAATCATAGTAATGGAGCATCCTAATCCACCCGTTCTTCATGATATGTGCTATCCTATTAGGAATGTAATCCCCTCGTGCATTAGGCTCCCCGAAAAAAATGGGATAAATTTTGAGCTTAGACCGCAATACATAAACATGCTTCCCAAATTCCTTGGTAATGAAACAGAAGATGCATATATTTTTATTTCGGAATTTGAGGAAGTGTGTATTATGATTAAAATGAGAGAATTAACCGAAGATGCGATTAAGCTTAGATTTATTCCATTTGCTCTTAAGGATAAAGCTAAAAAATGGCTGTACAGCTTACCAACAAATTCCATCTCAACTTGGGATGAATTTGTCACCGTTTTTCTTAAGAAATTTTTTCCTATTCATAAAACGGTAAAGCTTAGGAACAGCATTCAAAACTTTAAAATTATCCCGGGAGAACCTTTTTGGAAGTATTTTGACCGATTTAAAGATCTTCTCATCCAATGTCCTCATCACGGTTTAGAGAAATGGCGATTGTGCCAAATAATTTATGAGGGATTAGATTATTCTGCAAAAACTTCCTTAGAATCAATGTGCCACGGGGATTTTATGAGGAAAAATGCTGATGAAGCTTGGGAGTTTTTGGAGAGTCTTTCTGAAAAAACAATGCAATGGGAACACTGTGCTGACATGGTTTCATCAGTTCCCCATTCTAAGTCTAGTGGTCTTTCCTTGGAGTCAAACATTGCTTCTGAAGCGAAGATGGCGACAATTCTGCGGAGGTTAGAAGCTTTAGAAATTAAGGAACGAGCTCCAGCTCAAATCAATCATGTTTCTGCCTTAAGATGTCATAATTGTCAGTCTCCTACCCACGTTTCAGAGGAATGTCCTCTCCTAGGAAATAACAATACATTAGAACAGATGAACGCTGTATTCCAGCACCCTAGAAATGATCCATTTTCTCCAACCTATAATCCAGGCTGGAGAAATCATCCCAACTTTACATGGAATCAAGGAAATTCTCCCGGAACTCAAAACTTCACTCCCGCTTCGACCCAACATTTTTCTAGGGGAAACACAATTCCGTTCAATTCTTATTCACAATTTCAACAACCCAATCTGCCGTATCAAAATCAGTCTCCTCTTCATCAAGCTGTAATTCAGACTCCTCACAATCCAGATCAGGATAAACGTCTCCCATAATTAAGGTCTCTACTCAAACCACGAATATGTTGACTCAAACGTCTAGCACTCTAAATTCCTTCATGCAATCAACTGGACAAATGCTCAACTCCAACACTCAAGCTATAGCTAGATTAGAACAAATGCTCAACTCCAACACTCAAGCTATAGCTAGATTAGAATCCCAACTTGGTCAACTAGCTAGTACCGCGAGTGAAAGAGAGAAAGGAAAATTTCTGAGTCAACCCGTGGTCAACCCTAATATCACAGGATGCAGTTCATCCTATGAAGCTCAAGTGAATACAATCCATTCACTTCGGTCAGGTAGACAGGTCGATAATCAAGTGAGAACTCCTCCAAGTCAAACTTCTGATCCAATACAAAATCCTTCTTCTTCTGATGAATCTATTCAACAATCACTCCCCTCAGATGACCAAGAACCTGAACCCGAACCTGAGCCTGCTTTTGATAGATTTAGACCGGTTGCTCCCTTTCCAGATAGACTCAGGTCTAGGAAACACTCTCCTCAGGAGGAGAAAATCCTAGAGACATTCAAGCAGGTTAAGGTCAACATTCCTCTCTTAGATGTAATTGAACAAATTCCATCTTATGCTAAATTTTTAAAAGAATTGTGCACTAAGAAGAGGAGAATAAATGTTCCAAAGAAAGTCTTTTTAGCCGCCAATATCAGTGAAATGCTGTCAAATCCCATACCTTTGAAACGTAAAGATCCAGGTTCCCCCATCATTTCATGTATCATTGGTAATACTCACATTGATAAGGCGCTTTTAGACTTAGGGGCCAGTGTTAATTTGCTTCCATATTCAGTCTACCAGCAATTGGGTCTAGGTGTACTGAACCCAACCAAATGCACCTTGCAGTTGGCTGATAGATCTGTAAAGGTCCCTATGGGTGAGTTAGAGGATGTTCTGATTAAGGTTGGAGATTTTATTTTTTCAGTAGATTTTGTAGTCTTGGAAACACAGCCTGTTTTCAATCTCAAAGGACAGACACCTATCATCTTAGGACGACCGTTCTTAGCCACTTCTAATGCTCTCATCAACTGTAGAACTGGTCAAATGAAGCTGTCCTTTGGGAATTTGACTGCTAATCTTAACATTTTTAATCCAGGGGACCAACCAAATAATCAGCCTCTAGAAATAAACTACATTCAGGAAAGATCAGAAGAAGAAGAAGAAGAAGAGTCTGATTTGAGTTTTGAGGAAATTTTTGATGAAGAGTTAGAGTTTTTAGAAGAAGCAGATCAGGTCCTTGAGAATAATAAAACTGTGTTAAATATTTGTTGCTTTGAATTAAATTTTAAAGAACTCTTTCTTGATGAACTTAGATTCTTAGAGAATAATCAACAACCAAATTTTCAGAACTTCACAGAAGAATTGGTTGTTAGAAAACAAAACTTCACAGTACAAGAGTCTAAATTCATTAAGAAATGTAAAATGCATGACACCAATAATACCTACCTTACTTTGTTGTAAGAATTACTGAACACCCCGAAATGCTTGGAAATTTACATTATTTATTATATCATTCTTAATTTGTTTAAAATCCGGGGAAGAATTTTTAGCAATAAGGTAGGATTCAATGTAGAACATGAACTCTTCATGTTGAATATCTCATTCTACATTGTTTATTTATTTCAGAATAATACAAAGAATTTATTCATCTCTCATTTGAGAGTTTCTTGTTCAGTTGTTAAAAAAAAAGAAAAAAAGAGAAAAAAAAACAGAAGAATAAATTTTTGATTTCATCCTCCCCAGACCAAAGGTAGTCGTAGATTTTTATCAGCCGACCAAATGTAAGTGCTTCACTTCTTATCTGCTTTACTTATGCATCATAGAGTTTGCATTGAGGACAATGCAAAAGTTTAGGTGTGGGGGTATTTGGGAATTAGTTATTTTCTCTCTCTTTATTTTACCCTTTTTCTTATAATATATATATATACTTTTTATTTTACATTTTTAGTTACATTTTTTCCCTTTTTCTTTAAAAAAAAATTTATAAAAATATCGTCACTTGCCAAATTGATAGAGTTATGTAATAATTGATTTATTTGATAAATTTGAAATTTTCTAATCCTTAGTTGGTTATTTACGTAAGTTCACCTTTTATGATAACTCTAAATAAATTTCTTAAGAAATGATTTTCAAAATAGTATACTTTACTTAAGCCTTAACTTGGACTTTTATTTAAAATAATGAATTTTTTGCATGCTTAGCTTTGAGTTGAAAATAATTTTTCAAAGTGTCTTGATTTACAATATTTTCAAAATATATATACATACAAAAAAAAATTGCAAAAGAAGAGTGCGAAAAATGGGCACCAAAAAGAAAAAAAATAATACTCTTGAATTCTAGGTGATTCTATCTTATAAAGCCTAAGCTGACCGAGTAATTAAGCCCAAGGAGTATTTCCATACTTAACGACCTAAGCCCAATTGGGTTAGGATCCATTGGCCCAAAACTCTTTAAAAGGTCACTTAGAAAGCCCGTTAAAGTAGAAAAAAAATCACGAAGGATGAAAGAGTTAAAAAAAAATTTAATAAATGTTTTATAGTTGTATATATGGTCTTGGAAAATATTTTAAATCAAGCAACTTAAAAATTATTTAAAACAAAGAGTTAGCATGTTCTTTTCAAAACTTTTAAATTAAATTTCTAAATTTGGCTTGGTTTTGTATTGCTACAATGAGAAGATTTTCTTGAAAATATACCTTAGAGTTATATATAAAAATGTTTTCTTGAGTGATAACTGGCTCCAATTAGATTATCTAAAAGTTATCAAGTGAATTTAGTTATTTACTGACTTCTTTAATTTGGCAAGTTGACCGAATTTTGTGGGTATATTCACTGCAAACCCTCACGAGACTACAACTCGTCCACTAGGGTAACCTAGGGGTTTAAAGGCTTGTTGTATGCGCTAAATACAACCGCGATTCCACGAATGTGGTTGGCAAATTATCGATCAAATTGCTAACAAAGCCAAGAAGGGTATTTGATAATCATATTTTATTATAATTTTATACCCTCATTATCTATTTTACATGAATAAATATACCATTAATAATTGTTGTTAGCTTAGTTTCCACATAAATGAATGAAAATATAAATAAATATTATTAAATGTAAAAACCCCTTAAAAATCTCTCTTCTATATTTTGCAGCATTTTAGAAGCCTATGATTGAAAGGTTGGAAGCCCATCAAGCAAATGATGGCTCTAAGAAAAAAAAAAAAAACAAAGACCTCATGCACATCATGCTCAAGAAGAAGCCACAAAATCAAGCTCTTTGAAGGCCCAAGCCCTCATGCACATCATGCTCAAGAAGAAGCCACAAAATCAAGCTCTTTGAAGGCCCAAGCCCATCAACAAATCATCACACCTCATGACCGGACTTAGGAGACCGGACTTTGTTTTTTTTATTTTCAAAATCAAATGGAAACCGGACCTGGGGGCTTGATTGCTGCAAACAACAATGGGCCGGACCTGCTGGTCTTGGCTTTGGGTGCTGCAGCTTTGAATCACAAAAAAATCAAATGGGAAGTTCAAATTGGGCCGGACATGTTCAAACTCCAATGGGCTGGACCTGATAAGGACTTAGCTTTTAATTTTGAAGCTCCATTGGGCCGACTTTGCTGTAGATTCAAATCTCCATGTGGGCTACAAATTTAATTTTGAAAATCAAATCTCCATGGACCGGACCTGCTGTAAGAGTTGGGGATTTTCATCTTTGAAAATCAAATAAATCATATGGGCCTCCTATGTTGGGCTAGAGAAGAACAAAAAGCAAATTTAAATGTGGAGATTGCTTTGCTTGGGGCTCAAGACAAATCCAATGGCTAATATTCATTGAAGATTACTATAAATTAGGGTAGAGAGTGAGGGGTTAAGGGTGTGAAAATTTTTATAACTCCTTTTGGAGAGGAGGGCTACTCTTAATTGAGAAGGCCTTCCAAAATTATAACTTTTTGTTGCAATTAATCCTTCCAAAATTATAACTTTTTGTTGCAATTAATAATAATAATTTTTTCACCACTTTAAATTTTTCTCTTTTTCTCTTTGTTGGATGATAAAGATGAAGATGAAGATGGAGAATCATTTGAAGGTTTGTATTTCTCTTTTATTTCTTTTTGCTTATTAGTTTAGATTTTTTTCTATGCTTGTAGTTAGATTTTATTTTCTTGTTAAATAGCCAAGAGGCTAGAACCCTCTTGCCTTAGATTTATTTCATGCTCATAGATTAGATTTATATTCATGCATATAGAGTAGATTTATTTTCTTTTTGCAATTTATTTTATAGTTTAGATTTTGCAATTTATTTTGTAGTTAGATTTTAATTTCTTGCACTATTCACCTTGAGGCTAGAACCCTCTTGGGTTTAGTTTTTCTTTTTGTTTATTTTTATTTTGTTTGATTCGCCTTTAGGCTAGAACCCTCTAGGGAATCACCATTTTCTAAGAAGTGGGTTCAATTTTAGATTACCCATATCTATAATTGAATCCACCATCTTTAATTTCTTGTATTTTCTTTTATTCTAGAATTTTGTTCTTCATTCTTGATTTTTTTATTTGTTTCTTGATTTTATTCATTTTTCCTTCTCACCTTATTGATCATACTCATTCTTTTTTCACATCCATTCTCACTTACATTTTGCACCTACTTACATACCATTTTCACTCTCTCAATCTCTTCACAATCACATTCACTTATCACTCCTACTTGTCACGCACACAACATAAGAACCGATTTCATATTTTCTCCTACAAAACACCTTCCTCGTGGGATCGATATCTTAAATACTATAACTTGACACGATTGTGCACTTACAACCTTTTTGGTACATGTTTATGCCGCATCATTCACCTCCAGCTGTCTAGCTATATCAAGGCTAACCAACAAAGCATTATATTCGGCTATATTATTAGAGCATGGCTCTGTTAGAGAAACGGCCCGTTGTAGCACCTAATTTTGTGAAGAGATAAACACTACCCCCACTCCGGTAATAACCCGACCAGTAGGGCTTGCTCTTCCCCCACCATCGAAATATAGTTGCCTTACCTGCTCTTTAGAAACAACATTGGCTTCATATGTCTCATCTGATATGTCCTGATACAATTCTACCTTCCCCTTCAATGGATGGTTAGCCATAAGGTCACAAATAGCTTGACCTTTCACTATCTTTTGAGGTTTGAAATGAATATCATATTAGGAAAGCAACAATGCCCATCTAGCGAGTCGCCAGTTCAACGTGCTAGGCTGTGTCATAAATACCCGAATAGGATTAATCTGGGAAATGATATGTATGGTTTGTCCAACTAAATAATATCGCATCTTTTGAACCATGAAGACCAGTGCCAAACATTCTTTCTCAATAAGAGGATAAGGAGGTTCAGCACCTGATAAAGTCCTACTGAGATAGTAGACAGCTTGCTCATGGCCATTTTCATCATCTTGTGCTAAGAGTCCTGCCAATGCATGATCTGTAGCCCGGATGTATATCAAGAAAGGTTTACCTGACTTCGGTGCAACCAATACAGGCAGATTGGAGAGATATTGCTTAATCTCCTCGAATGCTTTCTAGCAAGCTTCATTCCACACAAATGATACCCCTTTCTTCATTAGCCTTGAGAATGGTTGACATTTGCCTGATAGGTTAGAAATGACCCTGCGAATGTATGCCAATCTTCCTTGTAAACCCTGAAGCTCTTTGAGATTTTTAGGAGGTGGCAGCTCTCGGATGGCTTTGACTTTGTCCGGGTCAAGACGAATTCCGCTAGCTGTGACCACGAACCCAAGGAATTTACCACTAGCCATTCCTAAAAATGACTTGGTCGGGTTCATCTTAAGTTGATGTGTCCGCGTGAGGTCGAACATTGTTTTCAAGTCGTTTAAATGGTTTCCCTTGTCATGACTTTTAACGACCAAGTCATCTACATAACATTCTACAGTCTTCCGCACATATCTTTGGAAAATGGAGGTCATGGCATATTGGTATGTAGCACCGGCATTCTTCAATCCAAAGGGCATTACTGTATAGCAGTATATCCCCGAAGGTGTTCGAAAGGACGTGTGCTTTTCATCATTAGAATACATTTTGATTTGGTTATACCCTGAGAATCCACATAAAAGACATCCTTTCAAACCAGCACGTATTGTCAATAATAACGTCCGTGATGGGTAAAGGAAAATCGTCTTTAGGACAAGCCGAATTCAAGTCTCGAAAGTCAATGCACACTCGAACCTTCTCTTTTTTTTAGAACAGGGACAATGTTGGTCACCCAGTCAGTATGTTGCTCTTCGCGAATAAATCCCGACTCAATAAGCTTCTTGATTTTAGCTTCAATTGCTTCCATAATTTAGGGCCAAAATCGCCTTTGTTGTTGTTTAACAGGCTTGATGTCTGGTTTAATATTTAAGTGATGCACCACTTAAGGATCGAGGCCAGTCATATCCTCGTAATTCTAAGCAAAAACATCAATATACTTTTACTAGAGTAACGAGTTCTTCTCTTTCTTCGAGCGACAAGCTATCGCTTATGAATATGGGTTTAGGATTAATCGCATTTCCCATGTTCACTTCTATCACTTTGTCGTCAGTAGGAGGTTCGCGTTGTTCAAAGCAGTGTTCCCACTATATGCCTAGCTGTCGGCTTAGCGGATCATCAAGCAAAGGTAATTGATCATCTTCTTGATTTTCTATTAGAGATGCTGAGGTCATGTTGGCCATAAGTGCCTTGAACATAGCTCCTATAATGGTGTCAGACTATAGCAACTGGATTCGGAAGATGAGCTGCAAGAATCATCATCTGGCTCTCCATTAGATCCAAAACACAGCGTGAATGGCAGGGATTCATAACCTAACACACTACGAGTTTTATGATAGTAATCCTCCGAATTTCCTTCCGGGACATAAGCGGATCGGACTGGTGTCCGGATCCCTTTGCCGAAATTTAAGCCTTCTTTACGAATGAAATTATATCCCATTTTCTTCATGAGCTTTCGGGTTGTTGGTGTGAAATACGAGAATTGCAGATCTTTTTCCTCCTCGGATTCTTCCAAGAGAGTTTGCGACGGACCGTCACTCTACTCTTTCCAAAGATAATGTCTTTTTGGCCATTAACCTTAGCCGGTACTATGAAGACTTCTTGCGAAGATTCAAGTCGTTGCCGATTTGTCACAAAAGATGATCGAATCGGCATGTATAAATTTTAATTCAGCATATAATCGGGGTAGAGGATCTTCCCTTGTGCTTGTGCTTGTACCTGGTATGTTAGAATTCAATTCAACACATGATAAGTAAGATAAATCATCATTAGTATTAAAGATAATTCCGCTATCCTCACAGATAGTATCATTTATATCCAGATTTTCAAGACCAATTACGACGGGTACAATGTTATTGAAAACAAGACGATGTTCTGTAGGCATCAAAAATTGCTTATAAGTTCCCACAAACAGCTCGAAGCTGAGAGAAGACGATGAACATCACTATCCGAGTCACGTAAGATTAATTAACGTCGAAGAGCACATGAAGTAATTCGAAAAACCATGTGAAGTAACGGAACTGCAGAATAACGAGGATATGAACTGATCGGGAGCCACGCTTCACTAATAAAAAGATGAAGCACCCTTCATATACTGTCTGCTCCACATATGATCCAACTATAGAAGCTTGTAGATCTCCTCGTCGGCTTTCCTACGCATTTTGAATTACGTAATTCCGAGTTTGGATAGCAAAGATACGACGAAAACGAACAGAACGCGGGAAACAATGTTCCAGGCCTCGGCGAGACACCCATAGGTGTCTCGGCCACTGCCGAGACACCACGGGTGTCCGCAGCCCCGAAAACTGATTTTTTGTAGTTTCAAGTCGTTTTTCAACGTTAACCACCTGGATTTGTTCCAACTGATGAACCAATCCTAGAACGTGACAAAGTGGTTATAAGTGAGGATAAGAGTGAATCGGTCATACTTATTTGAAAACAGAGGTCCCAAAGCCTATAAATACAGCCCCAAGGCTTTCATTTTTTAAAGATCTGGAATTCTCGAGTGTCAGCGAAGCCCTGCTAAATTGAAGACTAAAGGAGCATAAATTTCAGAAGAGAGGAAGAGATCAGATTGAGTTTGTCAGTATAAAGAAGAGGAGCTCGTCAGATTTACAGTTTTCAGTTCCTTCCTTTGAGATTGCCCCGTTGCGGTGATCTTGAGAAGAGTGATTATTTTTCTATTGTCGATATAATTACTTCAGTTTCTTAATTCTTTCGTGAATCAACAAAACTCCGGATCTGATCTGATCGTTTGGTAGTCCACGGATATCAACATCCCCGTCACAGGCCAAGATCCTATGCAAGCAGTGAAAGATAAACATCCATTGCGTTTGTTTGAAAGAAAGTTATAATTTTTGTTAAAAGTCTTATAAAAAGACTGTTTCTTTGAGTTTGTTGTAAACGTTTGAAGTTATAAATGAATCATCAATGAAATCGACTTTCTCCCCAAACAAGCTAGCGACCACAGTAGGAGCCAACAGCTTTGCTGCTGAAGCTGTCGTGTCGCAACCAGCGATTAAGATCCCGGTGAATGAAGATGTCAAATACGAATTCGACCCGCAGAAGTTTGAGGAGTACGTCTCCTCCTCCTCCTCCATATCCTCCTCTCCTCGCAAGCGTAGGAAGGCCTCCTCCTTCAGGAAAATCCGCCGGTCTTCAGATCTGAAGACCCAAGAAGACGATCTCTCAGCCGCCGCTGCTGCAGTTGTACCTCGTAATGACCCGACGGTGTTCGATGAAGCCAAAGCCACAGATCTAGACATCGCCTCCATTAAGGAGTTGACTATTGAAGGCATGCCAAATTTGTCGAAGAGAGCTCGTCAAAGGCGTCGTCAACATCTTGCTCGTTAGTTCGCTAAGGCTTTGGAGCAAGTGGACGGACTCTGCTACCAAGGGGATCTAGAGTTCAGAAAGCACCAAGTGGCTAAGCTGTCGCCACAACAAGCATCAGGCTCCTTTTCCCAACCGTCAACTAACAAATTGGTTCGTGTCAAACAAACTCGTTCTACTCTCGAGGAGCGTATCTAGAAATGCTGCGCACTACTTGCGCACGCACGGATTTTCACACAAGAAGCATAGAAATTGTAGCAGGAAGAGGTGGTCAAGAAACCACCATGATCTAAGCAGGTTTGGGTGTCGAAGGCCAAAACAGCGCCTCTACCCGACAAGAGACACCAGTCACGTCTCTCGCTTGATTCCAGATCCGAGGCTGCTCCCCAGCCTTCGTCAACTTTAGATCACGCTCCTATTGCTCCCGCACCTTCGGTGAAGCCCTACGACAGCGTGGATCTCTCCAAATCTAGAATTCTATTGAAGGATCGCCTGAGTCTTCTACATGAAGATCGAGACAGATTTCTGGTCAAAGAACTCTTGGGCATAGTGAATGAACCCCGAGCAACTCATCGAGCTTGGGGTCGTACTCTCCCTTGCAATAAGTCTGAGCCTTCTCGTAAAGAGAAAACTCCTATAACTGACCACCTCGGATTGCGTGTCAAAGTTTAAGAGCCCGTTGAGGTCCTACGCTCACAAAGGCGTAGCTCAAAATGTGCGACTTTTGAGAGTGCCAACAAGGCGATGAATCCTTAGAAGGAAACGTGTTCGTCAGACGACGACGTTATACCTGAGAAGTCATGCCAACACACAATAGATTGCTCCGGTCATCACGCCGATGAGTTGTACTATCAGGCTGGGGGTACAAACAAATCTTGAAAGAGAAGTACCCGGGAAGCGGACTCTCATTGTCTGTGTACCAAAATTATCCGGGCAATATAATCAGCATGTAGCTGCTCCAAGATCACTCCACAGAGGGTCTTGATATTCGAAAGGACCTACACTAAAGCGTCGAAACCCAAATCAAGACGTTTCTACAAAAGAAGATCGGTCGTGCGAGACGACAAACTCTCGGAAGTTACCATCAACATGGTCAATAAGGAAAAGTCTCCGATTATTTCAAGTGGTTCTAACCCCAACTTTTCTCCAAGAAGAAGAATCAATTCGGGAATATCCCAACTAATGTCTCGTCTCCAGCTAGAAGCCGTCGGACATAACGATTACCCAAGAAGCCATGAAGGAACCCATTCCGATGATGAACTCTCAGACTCGTGTTCTGCAATTGCCTTCGACGACACAATGTCTAGCGTAGGACAAGCTCGGGAAGTGTTTATGATCAATACCGAGCAAATCGCCAAAATTCTCGAGGATGCTCTAGCCAAACAGAAAGAAGCATTCAAAATTGAAATGGAAATGACCATGATGCGGATGAAGGAAGAGCATGACCAACAAATTCGGGCTCTGTCCAATTAAATTGGTGAATCCAGCCTTCGCAACATTGCTAACCAAGCAGGCAGCGATTCAGATGTGGATAAAAATCTCAATGCTGATAAACCTCTCGTTGATCAAAACGCTGGGGATGGCCCCACTAAAGACAACGACGCTGGGGGTGGTCCCACCGAAGATGACAATTCCGGGGGTGGCTGCGTTGTTCCTTTTAGAAATCATCCAAAGAATGATGCAGATGAGGACGAAAAGCTAAATGACCTCGAGAGCAAAATCAACGCTCTGATGTCTGCTCGAGAGGTGAAGAAGATCGGTATTCTGTATCCTTACCCAAGAGAGTAAGAGTCGATCCCGTATCCAGCGAAGTTCAACTTGATCAACTTCACGCCGTTCGATGGGAAAGGCTCACCCACTCAACACTTGATTATTTTAAGTCCCACTTGGGAGTGATCTCTGGCAACGAGCCTTTAATGGTTCGGTCATTCGTTGGCACCCTGCACGGACCTGCCTTCGATTGGTACCGCTATCTCAAACCCGAAAGTATTAACAGCTGGGACGATATGAAGAGCTCATTCCTCGGCAATTTCTTTGATGATGACACCGAGATATCAATCAGAATGCTCTTCGAGGAGAAATAGGAAGACAAAGAGACAGTTGATGACTTTGTCAAGCGCTTCCGGAATAAGGCAATGAATTGTTGAGATCC